TCTTATAGTTGGTAGTATCATTCTTCTTATTTTATTAAGTATATGGTCTAATTTTTCATATAGCTTTAAGTTACATTTTTTCTTTTTTTAGGGTTTCTAGTATGATTGATCTAAATTTATTATTTCATTATTACTATAAATATACTAGTTATCTTTTAGTTTTACAGGTAGTGTACCTCCTGTATTATATGATAATCATTGTTCTTCACTGCTAGTTGATTTTATACTTTATGAACTAGAGCTAGTTGTTTTAGTTATAGATGCTGCTAAACCTAATAATAGTAGTGATATTTGTGGTTAAGTAGTTGATTCTTTTATTTGTATATATACTGGCATATTAGATCTTCTCCCTTCTATAGACATTTGTCTATTTCTATAAAATTTAGAGTTTTCTCATTATTTTTGCTGCGTTGTTTGTTTTGTTGTATTATCCTTTACTACTTTCTTAGATAATGGTTGTTCTTTCTTAGATGGGTCATTATAACTCCATCTAGATACAAATAGCCAACTATTTTGGTTTGGTGGTTTTTTTAGGCAATAGTAGTTTAATGCTTGTATATTATATACAGTTATATTACTTGCTTTCATAAAGGTTCTTCTATTATAAGCAATGTTCTTGTAGGGTCATTCTTATCTCTTTGTTCAAGAATTCGCCTTATAACTTTGTCTTGTTCTTCTTGTAACTTTTTATCTTTAGCTACAGAATCTTCACTCAACAAAGATCCAGTTTCACTTGCTATACTTGTATTATTATCAAAATGCTTGTGCTTTACAGATGTTTTTTCTTTAACTACTTCATTTTCTTTTTGCTTTTTCTATTTTGCTATCTGTAACTTTCTATAGTTTACAGATATTTTTATTGCAGCATTATCTGCTCATCTACTATTAGCTCTTTTTCTTTCTTTATTATTGGTGCTCATAGTATCTATTGCTATTAGTTTAGCTATAACTCTTAAATTTATATATTGTTCTGGTCTTATATCAAGAGCATCATTCGAATTATCAATATATCTTGTTTCTTCATCTTCTAAGTTTTATTATAAGTTCACTATGTTTCTTTATTTTGTTGGTCATACTACTGTATAATTTTAAATAACTTCTCTTGTAGTGTTTCATATAACTTAGTTTCTTTAAGCCTTTGTGGTAATATATTGATATTTTTTATTTTATCAATATGTCTTTAGGCTTCTTTGTCATTCATTTTCTTAATCTTTTCAAAATTAGAATCTAT